ATCTTAAATGAACTTCTTGGGGAAAAAAAAAGAATACGGTGGCTACAAAGAAAGAAGTCTTTGGGAGCTAATGGAGAGACAAGATGAGACATTCCTGGGGCTCCATTTTGGGTCTTTCATGCAGGGAGAAGAGCAATGGCCTGCAGTAAAGATCATTGGAGGCTATTGGATTAGGAACTGAGGATATTTAGTCCTGACTTTCTGACCAGTTGAAGAATGCAACACAAGCCTTGGAGCTAGTGAGGATCATCAATGCAGTCAATACCTTTCTTTTTCTTCATCAAGGTCCATCCAAGAAGTGGTCTTTCCCCCTACCATTTGCCAGGCAATCCCATCACTTTCTGCTTTCCCCAATGTCACTTCTTGATTACTAAACCAAGCAACAAACATTGGATACTTTTGGTTCCCCTAACTGTTCAATTTCATCTCTGTGGTATTTGAACTATTATTATTAAACTTGTTGACTATCAAACTTGGGCTAATTTAATTTATTTCTGAAGGCAAAGAGCAAGATGGGGAGTGGAGGGGTGACCAGTGGAGATGTTCCTTGCCCCATCTCTCACTGAGATTTCTCTTATAAGGAAAAAAAAGAAAATAGTCCAGGCACATCAATATATATGTAACATTTCATGCCAGCTCTTGGATTTAGATAAATAATTTTGATTATGTTAGGAAAAATTCTTAAATTCCTATACCTTTCAGTATTCTTTTCTTTTTTAAAACTAACTTTTTTTATTCTGAACTTAAACACCAATAAGAGAGAGCATTTCTATATACACAGCAGAACATAGAGAGGATTTTATATGAAATCATGAATTTCCCATTTCACAACATTGACTTTTAAAATATTACACACACACACACACACACACACACACAGTGTAAACTCTGTACATTACTTTAAAAACTGTCCAACTTCTCTGTACTTCCTTCTGAACTTCCTTTTCTTTTTTTCTGCACATTTTTGAAAAGTGTTGTTATAGTTCTCTTTGTCTCTGTCTCTCTGTCTTTCAGTATCAATATTCTCTCAGTATCACTATTACTATTACTAATCCCTCTAATAGTGGTTGGAAACAATCACTGGCGGCTTAAGTGATAGCATCAGATAACAGACACCCCAACTATTCAGGGTACCCATAAAACTCTAAGGTAGAAGTCTTGATCTGAGATAATGAGTCCAGAAAATATTCATTACACATTTTGTATACCCCAGTTGGTTCATCCATCCTCCAATTATCTGAGAGATAATCTAAGGTAACCTCCTTATATTCTAGTTCTTTTTTTTCCCACACATTCTCCCCTCCTGTTAAACCCCACTTCAGGATCCAGAAGTTTGTTTTGCTTATGACTATTCCTGGTTTCTTGTTATCCTGTCTCTAATGCACCTCTCTCTGTTTCTGATTATTTCCCTGTTAAATCTGATATGTTGCTACAACAAATTCCTTTGACTATTTCAAATGAGTGAGGTTCATCTGATGCCTACTACTCCCTCCATGTTTATATACATTTCACCTCATGCACACCAATTATGAGAAATAGGAAGTTCCACCACCTTCTTTCTCTTTGCTATTCTATTGTATTTAACCTTTTATTCTCTTTCCCCATTTCAAATCCTCAGAATAGAACCAATTTACCCTCAGGACCTCCATTTTTCTTATTTAACTTCCTTAATACCCTTTGAAAAGATTCTGAAGGAACACTTGGTTCTTCTCCCCCCATTAACATTATTATATTATCATCATACAGGTGTTTCTAGTTGCTCAAATAAATTTAACTTTCTAGGTTTATCTGTACTTGTATCTATATTTCAAAGTTCTTACTTAGCTCTGGTCTTTCCATCAGAAGTGCTTGAGGGTCTCTTATTTTAATAAAAATCTAATTTTTACCCAGTAGGATTATACTCAGTTTTACAGAGTAAGTTGCTTTTGGTTGTAAGCTTATACTTTTAACCTTTTGGAATATTGTTTTCCAAGATCTCCTCTGCTTTAAAATAAAAGCTGAAAAGTCTTGTGTGATCCTGACTATATAGTTCCTTGGTAAATATTTAAACTCCTTCTTTCTGGCTATTTTCTAGACTGTTTTAAGTTTCAAGAAGCTTTGGGTTTTGAATATAGCATTCATGACACGTTTATTTTGGGGTTTCTTTTCAGGAGGGATTCTTTCTATCTTTGCCCTGTGGTTCTAATTGATTTGGGCAGTTTTCACTTATGATTTTTAAAATAGCATCCAGGCTTGTTTTTTTTTCTTAAATCATGGTTTTCAGGGATTTCAATAATTTTTAAATTCTCTATCTCTGATCTGTTTTTCCAAGCCAGTCATTTTTAATATCAGATTTCTCATGTTTTGTTCTATTTTTTCAGTCTTTTGGTTTTGTTCTACTATTTCTTGTTGTCTCATGGAATCACTGATTTCTGTTTGGTCATTTCTAGCTTTCAAAAGACCATTAAGTGGGTAAGGTTTACCACTTTCTCTACTAAGCTATTTATTCTCCTTCTAACTCTTTTTTCAAGATTTTTTATTTCACTGTTCAGCTCTTGCTTCATTTCTTCCAGGTATTCATACAGTCCTTGTATAAAAAGCCCTTTTCTCCCTTTGAATCTCTGCTTGTAGTTGCTATATAGTTAACTTTGCAATAATTTTTTGATACTGATTAGTTTTTCCTTTGTTTATATCTCCAGCTTTAGTGCCTCAATTAGAGCTTTGTGTTACTATTAGGCTCCAGCCTCTGCTGCACTTTCAGATGAGATGGTCAGCCCTCTTTGGTGAAACACTGGGACCTTAGGTGTTTTCCACCTCCTGAGGTTTAGCCCTTCAGGATCATTGCAGTTCTGAGTGCTGGATCTTAGGAGCCTGGGCTATCAGGGTCCAGAGTACAGCTGCACTGTGCTATGCAGCACAGTTGAATTCTCCTCCTTGGGACTTTCTGACACGTCCTGGGCTTTTTCATAGAAACCCTGTGCTCTTAAAAAAAAAAAAGGAGAGAGAGGGTGAAGGGCCCAGATGATTTTTTCTATGTTTCCGGGGTTGAAGAAGTAACTTGCTATTATTTTTCATTGTATTTCTTGATCATTATTCAGTCTGGTGTGAACTTGAGGGTTTTGTTTGAGTAGGTATATGAAAACTAGGCAGCTTACCTCCTACTCAGATCTTAGCAGGAAGTCAGTGTTTTTGTTTTTAACATGAGTGCTGTATTTTATCTTCCTTTTCTTAAAAACAACTATATTTTTTATGCCTTTTGTATTTATATCATAGTTATTTCCACACTTCTCTTACAGATTCAATCTTCCTTTGTAACAAAGAAAAACAATTTAAAAAAACAAACAATATAGAACTTGTGTCTGACACTGGATACAATTTTCTGTCCTATTAGTACCTCATCTCTCTGCCATGAGAGAGGAAGTATACTTTGTTATTTCTTCTCTGGGATCTTCATTGGTTTTTCTATTGCTCAAAGTACAACTTCCTTTTAGTAATCTTTTCATTTATATTCTTGTTGTTATTATGTAGATTTTTCTTTTGGTTTTATTTATGTCACTAATAGTAATGTATTATATCAATCACTTTTTCTACACTTATTGACATAATCATTTGCTTTTTGTGTTGTTGTTCTTGACATTAATACAATTATGGTTTTCTAATGTTAAATCATTCTTGCATTTCTAGTGTAAATCCAACTTGGTCATAATGATTTTTTAAAAATATGTTGCTATAATCTCTTTTCCGGTATTTTATTGATATCATCTGAAACAATAATTATTTGTGATACTTGTCTATAATTCTCTTTCTGCACTTTATCGTTCGTGGTGTAGGGATAACAATCATATTTGTCTCATAGAAAAAGTTTAGTGTATGCCTAATTTTTCTGTATTTTAAAAAATGTATGTAGCAGAGAATTTTGTTCTTTAAATGTTTGATAAAAATATCATTCATTCATAAATCTGTCTAGATCTGGATTTTTTAATCAGAATTTATTTATGGCTCACCCAATTTTACATTCTGAAATTATGTTATTTAGTTAACCTATTTTCTGTTACTTTAATTTTAGCATGTTATAATTTGGTAGATCTCTATTTAATTTAGATTTTAATTTTATTGCCATGTAATTTTTAAAGTTTTATTTATTTATGTTTAGTTTTCAACATTCACTTCTATAAGATTTTGAGTTATAAATTTTCTCTCCCTTTCTCCTCCTCTCTCCCCAAGAAGGCATGCAATCTGATATAGGCTATACATATGTATTCATATTAAATATATTTTCACATTAGTCATGTTGTAAAGAAGAATTAGAACCAATGGGAGAAACCACAAGAAAGAAGAAACAAAAAGAGAGAGAGAGAGCAAATGATATGCTTTGATCTGCATTCAGACTCCATAGTTCTTTTTCTGGATGTGGATAGCATTTTCCATCATGAGTCTTTTGGAGTTGTCTGAGATCCTTGTATTGCTGAGAAGAGCTAAGTCTATCAAAGTTAGTTTTCACACAATGTTGCTGTTACTGTGTACAATGTTCTCCTGGTTCTGCTCACTTCACTCAGCATCAGTTCTTGTAAGTCTTTCCAGGTTTTTCTGAAGTCCACCCACTCATCATTTTTTACAGCACAATAGTATTCCATTATATTCATATACCACAACTTGTTCAGTTACTCCTTAATTGATGTGCATCAGTTTGGTATAGTTTCTGATAATTTTCTTTATTTCCTTTCCATTTGTTATAAATTATACCTTTCTTATTTTTCATTCTTTTTGTTTGGGTTACTTTCTCGTTTTTTAAGATCAATTTTAAAAAATCAAACTACAATTTATTGATTTTGTTGCTCTTTTAAAAACAGCTCTTTATTTTACTGTTAATTTTTTTGTTCTGCTTATCCCACCTTTACACTTAAAATTTTTCTTTTATCAAGAGATCAATTTGTTGGTGTTCTAGGTTTTTTTTTTAATTATGAACTCAATTCATTAGTGTTCTCTTTTTCTCTTTTGTTAATCTAACAGATTCTCTCCACCCCCCCTTGAAGCATGTGCAGATATGCTCTGCTTTCAGCTCTATATGACTCATCAACGGATTGAATCTTCCTGAAAGGTTGCTGAACAAGAAGTTTCAATGATGCAGGGTGCTACACCTAGAAAAGAAAGATTTGGTTCTTGCCTGACACGTCTCTGGAAGATAGCTTTGGAGAAGATGAGATGCGACTCCAATCAGAGTTGGAAGAAGGAAGGCGCTTTCCTTACCTTGGCATAAAGGGGGGAGAGAGACCTTTTAACCACCACTCCTGATATGAAGCATGGACTCAGCTGGGCTTGGATCAGAGGTTCCTAGATATTTTGCTTCTTCTTCTGTTACTCCTTTGCGTTAGCACTGACCTTGTAAAGCTAGAAAGGTCCTGGACCCATTTAGCACTAACAGGTTTAGGCTTGTAATAAGGAAAGCATTGGCATAGGAAGTGTCAACATTAGAACAGGAGGCTGTCCAAAAGAAAATGCCACTTGGCTGTTTGACCAGACAATGCCAGTACAGAGGTGAAATCTAAAAGTGCTACTTAATAGCCTTGGAAATACTACTGTGTTCAAATGAGGCTTAAGTATTCACCTCTGAAGTGAAGGTACTAGCAGTAATAAGTTAGCCTGTTCTCTTTTAACAAATCTATGAATCTTTATTAGCTAATATTTCCTTTTCTGGGTGGGAACAAACTGCCTATCCATACATGAATCATGTTTGTACTTTTGGTACCATTTTTACTTTCCTCTCCTCCTTGCTAGAGAAAATCTTAGCATCTGAGGCCATAACCACAACAACTTCGTAACTGGCACCTTTCCCTAGAGTTGCCGGGATTGAGTGAATGTGAAATTGAGTCTTCTTCCCCTGTAGAAAAATCAGGCAACCCCAGAGCAGTGAATGCAATACACAACTGCAAGGCTGGGTACAGAGCTTTAAAGGAAAAGGTATCCTTAATCCCTGTGAGTTCTAGTAGTAGTTACCTCTAGCCTCTAAGCTAGATTAATACAAATGTTTTGAGATATTAAATGTCCTATAAGACCACTTTAGCCATGTCCCACATGTTTTGTATGTTAACTCATTGTTATAATTTCCTCTAATACAATTTTAAGTTTATTGTTTCTATGATTTGCTTTTTGATCAATTCATTACTTAGGATATCATTGTTTAGTCTACATGTTAGTCTGCACTTTTTGTTCTTATTTCTTTTATTAATTATTATTTTTAATACACTATAGTCTATAAAGAGAAAGCTTTCTCCATTTGTGCATGTGTTCACATGTTTTTGTTCCTTAACATGTAGTCAATTAACAGGTCTAAATTATACTAATGTAATTTTGGGTTTTTCAGTTCCAACCTAGTCTCTACTGGATATGTCAAATTGAAGATAAATAGAGTTCAATGAAGTTTTCAAATTTTTAAATAAGTAGTCATATTTCATTTTTATTAGGTTTTGAGATCTTTATTTCTAATGTAATTTTATTTCAAAATGCCTAAAACTTTGAATCTCTGTGGAGATTATTTCTCAAGTTTAAATTTGAATTAAAGCTGTCAGCAGCCAGCAAAAGGAATCTTTTACTAACATTTTAATTATTAAGTCATCCATCTTTAACCCCTGGACACTAGAGACTTGGAAGGGACTTGTCTCTGATACGTGTGTAGATGCAGAGGAGGGGGGTGGGGAGAGAAGGAAGAAAGGAAGCATCAATAGGGGAAAAAAAACAAAGACTGAGGATATGGAATCAACTCTCAAGGCCAGAATTAGAATCCAACATTTGCACTAAAATAGACATCTGAGATTCTTAACCTTCCCTACCCAAAACAGACTCAGTTCTTAGTGGGAAATAACTAAGGGAAAGTACAACCAAACTCTGCATTCCTAAGGGTACATAGATATTAATTTCTGTAATTGGACTACTTCCAAGATATACTATAACATGAATGTTTTCCATATAGTTTATTTTTAGGACTTATGGCTAAGATCACTGCTTGAATAGTGGCAGGAAGCCCACTTTCCAAACACCTATTGCAGAAAAAACTAAAAATATCATCGGAACAAATAATAATCAAGAAATTCAATGAGAAACTCTAGTAAATTATTTCAGCTATCTCAGAATTATACAAAAAGTCATCTGCAAGACCACAGGCAATAGGAAAGGAGACTCAGCCAAAAAACCAGCAAAGTATAGACAAACAAGATGGTAGTTTCTTAGAGTGAGCAGAGACAGGTCTGAGACCCTTACAGCCTGCAAGGTTCTGTATCCAGAGCTTACAAATGTGGATCACATTGGTCAGACACCCATAATATCATCCTTGGAAATAGCAAACAACACTCAGCCTGGGACACCCAAGGCCCAGAAACTCTGAGATCTACCTATAGCACTCTGTCCAGAGGAACTCCAGAGGGTCCTGAAGAACTAGAACTCTGAACCTCCAAAATCAAGGTGGGATTGGTTATAACTACCAGTGCTCTTAGCTTAAACGCGCCATGAGAGTTGGAAGAACCCAGGCAACCCAGATGGAGACCAGGCAGGGTTGACCACCCCACCCAAAGTTCACTGGAAAGTAGAACCTGACCCAGACACAAAGTCCCAATTCAGGAACTAGAGCTGGACATATGAGTAAACAGAAGAATATTATAAAGAATTATTATAGATCCTGAGAGAGCCAAATATCCAACCAAGATGAGAGTAATTATAAAAATGCAGGCAAAGAGTCAAAGAAAAAAATGATTTTCCACAAGTACTACTTTAATACCTGGAAGATATGTTACAAAATATAAAAAATGAAATAAAAGCTTTGAAGGAAATAATTATAAGGAGAATAGCTTAGAACAGGAACTTCATATGGTTACAGAATGATCGATTTAGAGCTAGAAGAGACCTTTGTGTTGTTTTTCAGTTGTTTCAATTGTGTCCAATTCTTTGTGACCCCATTTGGGGTTTTCTTGGCAAAGATACTAAAATGGTTTGTCATTTCCTTCTCCAGCTGATTTTATAGATGAGGAAACTGAGGCAAACAGAGTTAAGTGACTTGCCCGGGGTCACACAACTAGTAAGTGTCTAAAACCAGATTTGAACTCAGGAAGAAGAGTCTTCCTGACTCTAGGCCTGGCATTCTATTCATTGCACCACTAGATGTCCCTCCTTGATCATCTTTTTTTTTTTTTGGGGGTGAGGCAATTGGGGTTAAGTGACTTGCCCAGAGTCACACAGCTAGTGAATGTTATGTGTCTGAGGTCGGATTTGAACTCAGGTCCTCCTGACTTCAGGTGCTCTATCTACTGCACCACCTACCTGCCCCCTTGATCATCTTTATATGGTTCCTTATAAGGGTATTGAGATGCTGAAGCTTCTCTTCTAGAGAATTGAGTCTGAGTTATGGTAATTTCTCTCCTCCTTCTCCTCCAGCGTCTTTTAGCTTTCTGAATGTTTATCTCCATTTTAAAGGCCAAGTCCAAATGTGTAACCCAAGACCATGAACTGGCCTTATGGGCCTGGATATATCACAGTATCTTCAGTCACAAAAAAAAAAGTTTCATCCTTTGACCTCGCTAACCTGGTTAACAAGGAGTTAACCTTGACCAAGGTCCTCCTGGGCACACCCCCTATGTTTCTAGTTGTGCAAAGCTTGAAACAGTATATGTATCCAATGACTGGAGAATGACTGAGCAAATTGTGGTTCAATCCCCAGTTTCCCTCTGACAGTTGGGAGGGTCCTAAACTTCAAAGAAAGTAGTCTGTTTTTTTTCCCCTTAAACACTCTGATTCATTATGTCCCAACCCTGGAGTCTGAAGGAAAATCTCTTAAAGTTTAGTTTGGAATCATGTCTAGGCTTTCACTTAAAGGGATTAACAAGTTTCCTACCAGGAAAGTTATGCAATGTAAGAAAGTAATAGATGTCAGACATACATTATGAGAACTATTTATTTTCTCTGCTACAAAGGAAATACTTAAGATACAAAAGGCTCAAATGAAAAATTGACAAATACTTATATTATAAAACAGTTACTTATCATTGCTACTATATAGCACTCTTCTGGGAGATAAAGACTCCTGGGAGACCTGTGTGAGTACTGAACAGATGTTTTATTTTTATGTCAGACCTTTGAGGTCTATGCAGATCATAAGTTGGGATCTCCTAGGCAGCTATGTGGCCAAGTAGATAAAGCGCTGGGCCTGGAGTCAGGAAGATGTGAGTTCAAATTTGACTTCATACACTTATTAGCTATGTGACCCTGGGCTAGTCACTTAACCTCTATCTGCCTCAGTTTCATCATCTGTAAAATGGGGATAATAATAGGACCTATCTTCCAGGGTTGTTGTGAGGATCAATTGAGATAATATTTGTGAAGTGCTTAGCAGAGTGCCTGGCATGTAGTAGGTACTTAATGAATATTTCCTTCCTTCCTCCTGGCAAGGCAATTCATGGCTCAGGCTTTTTAAGTGCTATCATCTTAGTCCTAGTATCATTCTGGTGGAGTTCATCTCCTCCAAGAAAGTTGTTGCAGAGATCATCCCCTGAAGAGCAATTGGCACCTGGATCCAAGATCCAAGACCTGTTGTTCTCACAAGATTGCCATTTAGGAAAGAAATACTCATCACAGGATTGTAATATGACTACCTTGGCTCAGGAAAAGAAATGCAAAGAAGAAGCAGCAGCAGAAGTTGTTTTGCCTTTGAAGCCTACTGGATGAATAATTCCTCCTGACTCTGACCAATTGCCTTTGGTACAATCCTCCCTCTTCCTACCAGTCACAGGGTCCAAGGATCAGCCAGGAACCTCTGTTTATGCTTGTTCTGCAGCAAGAGGTCAGAGCGTGTGTGTATATCACCAGAACTGGTGAATTCTTAGCTCTCTCTCTACCCACCCACCACCAGCACAGGGATCCAGAAACCAGCTGAGATCCTCTGGTCACTCAAGACCCTTAACCAGAGGCCAAAGCACATACATCTGTCATCAGAAGTAACCTAGAAACATGCTTAGTCTCATAACCTCTCTCACATGAGCAGAGGACAGTAACCAGGTTCATGAAGGGCCTTGTGTTCATGGGTTAAGGATTGGTTGAAGGATAATGTTGTTAATATTAGAAGAGGTTGTTTGTACTTCATTTTCAAAGGAGACCAATGACATCACTGGGTGATGTCTTGACTTCGCATGAATGAGATTTAAGTGAGGCGTAGGTGTGCAAAGTCATCAGCTTCACTCTTTCTTCCTGAGTCATCAAAGTCCAAAGGCAGGACAAAAGTCAAGATAACTGACAATGGCCCAGGATGCAGCGGGTGACCTTGGCATCTTCTATGTCTGACCAAGCT